TCAGTGAAGCAAAAACTTGGCGTGCCCGCATTTTATATATATCTTATCAATTAAATATTAATGCAATCCGGGCACGCCAAGTTTTTGCTTCACTGTGATCCCATTGGTCATTTTAGTCACTTTAAGCCTGTTTTATGAAACTTAAAAATATTTGGAAAGACTGGTATTAAACTTTTGCTGCATGTACTTTTGAATAGTTAAACAGTTTTTAAAAAGAAATTTTTGTTCTATGTCTAATCAAATACTTGGCAACTTGTATGATCTCATATTTGTTTTTGGACAATTTTTATTTGTTAAAATAATATTTTTAGTTTAGAAAGGATGTAACGTACGGATACTTTTTTATATACTTGGCGTAATCTTTTTCTTTTTTTTAAAAAGAGTTTTGGTAAGATTCTATTATTTTTGTGATAATAAAAGTTGTATAGTCTTCTAATTTTTATGTATCTAATATCTTAACGATAAAGACTTTGATTATTTTGACATTTTTTCTTATTGTTAGCAAAAATAATTTAGAAAAGTCATTTGTTGCAGCTTTCCAATCTTTAGTGTCATATACTTTTGTAATTAAAAACTTTAAATTCGAATTCCATTAAAATAAATTTGTTTGAAACAAGCTGAAAGGTGCAGTAAGTTTGTAATACACTCACCTTGAAGTTTTACGTTACTTTCGAAAAGAATTTTTTTTAATTAATAAATTTTTAAAAATAATTATTTAATTAAGTATCAGAATAGACCGTTAATGTTAAATACAAATTAAGAAACGTAAAACGCTAATACGGTCCAAGCGGATCTTGGTGCTCAATAATATTATACTGTAGGTATGAATCTTACAATTTATCGATTCAAATTAATCCCGCGCCATATAATCGTCGAACTTTCAACGCAGCTAAAAACCGAAAGTACGTAATATCACAATTAAATTGCCAACGGCAATCTAATAAATCAATGCTCTTAAAGCATCTATTAAATCCTGTCAAAATAATTTATTACGAAAAATATTAAACCTCAGTCGGGATTTGAACCTGGACCTCCCTATTCTCCGGGCGGACGTCCTACCATTAAACTACCAAGGCATGTGGTAATCTTTATCGCAATAACTAATATATTTATTTGGAAAAACGTATATATGTTTCAAGGCGATGTGTATAAACAATTAAGTATCAAAATTAATAAATTTTTTTTATATAGTGAAGTTGTATCTTCACAAAAAGTGAAAAAGAAGAAAAAGATTTTTCTTACATACAATTAGTTAATATATTATATCTTCACAAAAAGTCGTCTCGACATTTCTGTTAAAAATCATCTCTAACTTGAAGAATGTTATTAAAGAATAATGCTTAATTGTAAGCATAATTTTAAAGAAAATGAGATGCCATGTATAACCGATTACTTTCAGACGCAACTAACCGGATCACGCACCGGTATACAAAAGTTCCCGCAGTATTATCCAAGTTCGATGTTACCGCCACCACCACCTGCTCCTATGGCCAGACCAGTGGCGATAATAAGATCAACGGGTGAATTAGCAGCAACGACTGCTAGCTCGTCACCAACATCGTCCACATCACCTACGGATCCGGCTGAGTTAGGGCCTAACCAGGAACAAATGACCGCCGCGGCGGCAGTCGGGCTCGTCGGTTCCGCTTGCCAGAATTCTGTCGAATCCGCTGGACGGAAGAGCCCTGCCAGAATTCTCGTTACACCACACACCACGAGCAGGGAATATACATTTGCTCATTTTCATTCGCAACCCGGCCAGGTTAGCTTCTTGTACGATTTCTTTCTCGTACTGTCGAAGATCCGATTGGATTTTTCCATCGTATCACAATTGCTTATATTTTCCCAAGTAGCAAGCACACGTCATTTTGATGTTAAATATTAGGTACGTATGTACTAATGATATTAAGTGTCCAAAAAAATGATAGTTATGTATAAATCATTTTAATGAATTCTTAATTTTAATGTTAAAAAGACATTATTATGACATAATAAGTTTTGTGCTGTAACTTAACTTATTTTACATCGTAACAAAATCTAAAGATAAATTTTTCCTTTGATTATTGTTAGTTTTCTGTTTGTTTAGATTTATTGTTTTACTGAATGTATTTATAATTTGTCTAAAATACTTAAATGTAACAACAATTGCAAACAATTAAAGTTCTCCTCAAACGGAATTAACTTAATGTACAATAACAACTATCCGAAAAGCAAAGTATCATCATTATAATATCAATTTAAGGTATTAAGAGCATTTTTTGGTATTAGACATATTTTTTTTAAAAATGAAAAAATTATGAAGAAATTACAGATTTTTTAATATTGTATTTAAAAATAATACAAAAAAATTGGCGGCGCTTTAGAAGCCAATAAAAAATTATTTCAATAAAAAGTAGACACGTTTAAAAAAAAAGAAGATAAAATGAGGAAATTTTCATTTTTTAAAATAATTAGTACTTTAAATACTCAAGATGATTTATGCCAATTAAGTTTTATTATAATTCAGAGATTAATTATTCTATAAACAAATAAAGTTTACTGGAATATATTATGTAAAGGATTTTGTGAAATCATCCGTATTTTATAGCTAGTTATCGAAACGGTAATGCCGTAGAACGCTTCTTTAGAACAGCGTGTGAATTAAAAACTATTATAACATGATCGAGTTTAACTTAAGCTTTTTATTATATTCTTAACATTTTTTACAATAAAAAGTTAAACAGTATAATTAAAAGATATTAGGAAACTATAAAATATCAAGCGCTGCGGTAGCAGCGCGACGCCAAGTATATAAAATAAAAGTTGGGTGATGACTTGTGAGTATACGGCACTGGCACTGTTGAAGCGCTACCGCTAGCTTTATCTC